CTGATTAGATATTTCCAGTAGGTGGCAGCACAGACTATCACAGATCAATGGATAACAATAAAAAGTAGATGAAAAATTGTTGTTGTTGTTATAATAGTAGTAGTTATGGTGACCTACTGTACCAGGAGGGTCGGAGACAACCCCATATCTAATTTTTCATGCTGTCCAAATATACCGTGATATAAAATAAAAAAAAAAAACACATTATCCTGAAGGGAGGGGGTGGGGATGGCTGAGGGTGAAAAGCATTTCGATATACTGAGGTATGCCATATTATCGTAGTATGTGGTACCCCCCCCAAGCCTTGACTAATAACTTTAAAACTGCTGATAAATGTTTACCTGTGTCTCTACAATGTTTCTATTTTGTATCTGCCCTTTCTTGGTCTGGTGGAATATCACTGCTGTATGCATGCACTGACTGTGACCATCTGCATCTGCAGTCAAACGTAGTATGAAGCTGCCACGTGCACGACCATCCTCAACCCGAGAGTACACACAAAAATGTTAATTATGAAATGGCCTTCAGTGGTCAGAGCAAACCAGAAGTGCAGGCTATAGAATCAATACCATAAAAAATGGGTAATTAAACCATTTACACATGATAGAATAGATACTTTCAGTACATTAGATACTTTTGACAACACTACAGCATATGGCATACAGTGGATTTAAAAAGTGTACACACCCATGTTAAAATGTCAGGCTGTGTCTAAATTTTTTTTTTAAATAATAATAAATAAGAGACCATGATAAGTTATTTCAAAACTTTTCTCACCTTTAATGTGACCTATAACCGGTACAATTCAATTGAAAAACAAACAAATCTATTAGGACGAAAAATGTAAAGTAAAAAAAAAAAAAACATACAATAAGCTGGTTCCATAAGTTTCCACACCCTTAAACTAATACTTTGTTGATTTTGATTTTATTTCAGCATTCAGCCTTTTTGGGTTGGAGTCTATCAGCATGCCACATCGACTTGGCAGTATTTGCCCAGTCTTCCTTGTAAAAGCGATCCAAATCTCTCCGATTGTGAGGGCATCTCTTGTACACAGCCCTCCTCAGGTCACCCGACAGATTTACAATTGGATTTAGGTCTGGGTTCTGGCCGGGTCGTTCTAAAACTTTATTTTTTTTCCCTGGTGAAGCCATTCTTTTGTTGATTTGGATATATGGTTGGGGTCATTGTTGTGCTCAAAGGCGAAATTCCTTTTCATCTTCAGCTTTCTAGAAACACCTGAAGGTTTTGGGCCAAAACTGATTAATATTTGGAACTGTTCATAATTCTCTCTACCTTGATTAAACCCCCAGCTCCAGCTGAAGAAAAATAACTCCCCCACCATGCTTCACCATGGTGTACTTTTGGTTATGCACAGTGCTGTTTTTGACCCAAACATACCTTTTGGAATTGTGCCCAATAAGTTCAACCTTGGTTTCATCAGACCATAATATATTTTCCCCACATGCTTTTGGGAGACTTTTTGGATTTCTTGCAAAATTTAGCCAGGCCTGGGTGTTTTTCTTTGGAAAAAAAGGGGAAAAAAAGGCTTCTGTTTTGCACCCCTACGCCATAGTCCAGACATATGGAGAATACAGGACATTGTTGTTACATGTAGTACACAGCCAGTGCTACCTGTAGTGTTGCTGTAGACCTCTTGTCAGCCTTCCTATTGATTTTTCATCAATTTTCATCAACAAAGTATTAGTTTAAGGGTGTGCACACTTATGCAACCAGCTTATTGTACATTTTTTGGTTTTTATATATTTCTTTCCTCCTAACAGATTTGTTTTGTACAAGTCACATTAAGGGGGGGAAAACTTTTGAAATGAGACTTAAATGTTAAGATTGGGACAGTGTGAATTAGGACTTTGCCATCTTATTTATTTGACTTCCTCTGCCGTCCCCTGGAGGATGGGCTCCCCCTTTGAGTCTGGTTCCTCCAAAGGTTTCCTCCTTCTAGGGAGTTTTTTCCTTCAGCTTGCTCACTGGGGGTTTTGGGTGGGGATGCTGTAAACTGCTTTGAGACAATGTAATGTGAAATTGCGCTATACAAATAAAATCTAACTCAATTGAACTGATTTATTGTGGTCTCATTTTTTGCATCACAAAAACCTGGCATTTCAACAGGGGTGTGAAGAGTTTTTATGGGCCATTCTGAGGGGGACATTCATACAAACATCAAGTTGCAGGATGTCTTTGCCAACAGCCAACCCTCATCCTGCAGCACATAGTGCAGAGTGGGAGCGGGAGCGGGAGAGGGAAGCCCATGCGTCAGATGCAGAAGAGCAGCAGCCTCCACATCTGTAAAGAGGACCACGGGGAGCTATGTAGGAGCACTAAGTAGGATGGGCATAATGGGCAAGTGAGCACACTGGAAAGCAGAAGGTTAGGCGTGGACTAACCTTCTCACGTGGACTCATAGCTTATAAATGTAGTGATGAAATAACAATGATTTAAACGACAGATGCAGCAAGGAAATCATGACCTGCCCATCACACCAACCAACCCAGAACCCTCAATATGGGACCAGAGCAGTGCTGGACATGGAAGGCTCCTAAAGGGGGATAAGTGTGCAGCATGCGGCATCACGCTGAAGCTTTTGCGGATTCCAGCGGGGGATGCTAGCATGTGCCGAGCAGATAAAGCTATAAAAGGGCCTGGTTCTCCTCACTTGAAACTGTTCATTCAAAGTGCTAAACTTAACAGCATGAAACATCTGCCCGGAAACAGCTTTCCATTTTTAGTGATGGAGGAGTTGCAGTGGCATAGGCACATCACACCAGCTGCCTGTTTGCGAATAGTGCTGTTGGCATCTGCATCCGTGTCCACCCCCGCAACAGGCTGCACGACAGAAAGCATAGCCGTGACAACGAGCCAGCCAGCGCTTCTACAGGGCACTACAGCGGCCCCTCCCTATGCACAGACCTTCTGCCAGCAGACTATGGAATTTAATGAGCCTGGACAGCAGGCCTACTGTCAGGAGACTATGGAATTTAATGAGCCTGGACAGCAGGCCTACTATCAGGAGACTATGGAATTTAATGAGCCTGGACAGCAGGCCTACTATCAGGAGACTATGGAATTTAATGAGCCTGGACAGCAGGCCTACTATCAGCACTTGGACAATATCCCCAAGCCCAAAAGCAGAAAGCACTTAGGACGTCTACATGCACAGCTAAGCTGAGCTATGGTTATAGACTGACTGCACCATTTAAATCAGACTGCTGTCCTTGTCCCAATATACATGCATGGGAAGGGAATCGATTTATTGACCAAAGTATGTCCAACTCCGCTACAGTAGGTGGCAATATAGCTCCTTTCAGCTTGTTAGTACTGGGCTTTTTCTGGTTGACCTATTGTGTCACAGATGTAAAAATTAATAAAATTAATAATAATAGATGCGTGGACAAATGAATCTTTAATTGAGATCTGGTCAGAAGAGCAGATACAACAAGATCAGGATAGCATAACAAGAAATAATGCATTTTGTATATATAACGCATGATAGCATGGTATTGGAAACTGGGAGGGGAGCATGTGCAGAGCACCTAGACCAGTTCGAGTCTGATTGAACATATACATGCAGGAGTAAATCGACTCCCAATCGCATTATCTGGGTGTTTTAGTCAGACTTCGAGAAATTCAATTTAGTACGATTTCAGTCGTACTAATAAGTTTACAAATACTTTAGAAGTCCAATTTTAGACGTACTAACACAATACAGTGGTACCTCAGAACTCGATTTTAATCCGTTCAGAACTCCGGATCGAATCCTAAAAAGTTCAAGTTCTGATCGAATTTTCCCCATAAGAAATAATGGAAAACCAAATAATTGGTTCCCGGCCCCAAAAAATTATACCAAAATATGTTTTTTTTTT